CGCTATGTTTGTGTGCAGTCTACAATAGAAAGCGGGAATATCATATGAAATTTCGATTTAGGCTTTGAACAACGAATCCACAGACGCTATAAACAGATTTATTAGTAAAATTCACTATAAGCAGATTTATTATTTAATAAAAATTCGGTTCTTGGCAGTTTGGTTTACTACAGCCAGAGTTCCGTTTAACCAGATAAATATTCACTATCAACAACTTCAACTGTATTTACATTTGCTGAACTATTAATTGAATAAATAAAGTATATTAAGGTATCTTCTTTTATGGTTTGATGTTCCAGCCTCTGTCTAGTCCTAACCAGTGATACTCGAATTTCTGTAAACTGGCTTATTATTATCAGGTTTATTCCTACTTCAACTTCGTAAGCATGGTCACATCCGTTCAGCAACAACTCTTAATCAAAAAACAGTGTACGTCAGATTTGAATTTATGTCCATTCGGAAGTGACATGTTTCAGATCGGAAATCTAGTTACTTGTCAAGTTCTTCGATACACTATTGCCACTGTACAAGAAACACATCCACCAATTTACAGTAATCTATGCTACAAACCATAAGTTGATCTCATTAGCTCGCCTTCCCATCCCGCTATGGGCTTGGGGTAACGGAAAGCAAGAGAAACTCGGTGTATTACATTGTAAATTTTAAATTTTTCGTTGATTATTACGGCCCTTTTAAATTGCCACTACGCTCGTATATATTGCTTTCTAGATACAATCGGTTTCCAGAAATATTTACTATTTTGAATAAACCATTTTACGAAACAATAACTTTTTACCACTATCAACACTGGAATTCCTTAATGCTGACAGCTTTTTCAATCGCAAATAGTTAATCGAACCTTCCTAGCCCAAAACCATGCAGGGATAAGTTAACACGGTTTTACGCCGATTAAAGGAAAGCATCTTTATCGACTGAAGTCTAGAGTAATTGTTAACCCCTAATTAACAATCGTGAGCAGTAGGACGAACGAAATCAAGAGAATAATTTAAATAGAGCAAACGTTCAATGAATACGCTTTATTATAGGTATTATATAATATTTTTATGATGTTCCCAAGGATAAAATTCCATGGGTTTTTCATAAGATAAATGAATTTTAGGAACTAAAGGACAATGTTGAACCATGAACAATGCTATTTCTCATTTCCACACCTAATAAAAATGTTAGAATTCTTTGTATCAGTCATTTAGCTGCCGTCAGAAAATTTTGTTTATATTGGGTCATCTTGCAGTAGCATAGAGATTATCACAATAATAGCGAAAGAATACATCATAATTTACCGCACTTGAATGCTAATAAATATGGTAAGTCTAAAAAATGGACTGTTCAATGTTAGATTGATTCAGAACTAACAATCCCAAGATTAAATACAAGTAATTACACAAACCTGCACAAAGACCTCTCTTGTAGCAAAGACATTGGTTTGAATCTCTGTTAAATGTTAGGAATTACATTCCTAATTAAGTATAAAATAAAAAGTAAAGATTTGTGATAACGCCACAATAACAATGATATGTAAGATTGTTGTAAGTCTGCCAAAACCAGGAAATTGCGAGCACTACTTATTGTACGGCGTAAGATTTAACTTTACTATTAACATTTTAGATGTTGTGTATTATAGATATTAATTCACAATAGTTCGGCCAGTAACGTCGCCTCAAAAATCGCAGACTATCAACCTTGCATTACCAACGAAAATACAAATCCATCAATGATCGGCAAACCCCTGGAAATCTGATCCGGTCTGTAAAATAGCTTTAGCCATTTTTATGGTAACAATAGCACTATCGTCGTCATTTCGACGTAAAACAACCAGTATTTGCACACAAGTTTTAAGTCCGTCATTACTGAGTGATTTGCTGCGGGGATAATGTAAGTTGAACACAATTTCCTCAATGCAGACTGTCTTTTTGCGGCGCACCAATTTAAGGAAATTAAACCTGAATTTCTTCGGATATTATGTCATTACAAAGTTTCAGTAAAAATGATAACGGTTTATAATCCAATGGTGTTCAATGAAAAAAAAAAGTGGAAGCGGAATTTGCCACATCATATTTGACTTTACGTAGGAGACCGCCGTACTATATTCAAGATAAATTTAAAACGAAGTGTTTTAGTAGTTTCACGAATGTGACGGTTTCTTCAAGTCTGTTAAATCAATACTTCCATTAGAACACTAATTACATTCAGAGGAGTGCGTTCTCCATATTATTATGTTAATGCCTATTTTTATGAGGCTGAATAAAGTAGGTTGCGTCTCGACTGCAGGAGAGGCAATGGGGGTGGCACAAGAACTAAAATACAATATTATTTTACATTATTATTTATTTACTTCCCGATTAGGCCCCCCAATCGTACGAATATTTAAACCAAGTATAACAATAATATTCGCCATATTCTATCTGAATAAGTAATGGAGAACCCTTGGGTACTGCTTAATAGAGACTTTACTTGGGTCTTATGGAGACATCTTTACGATGTTGTCGTTGAATTCGGACTGCGCAACAGCATACTTGCCATACGCTTCGACAGATTGGCAGATGATAACGAACCAACAAGCGAACTTAATCTTTCTTATGGCAGAAATTGGCTCAGTGCATTATATCAGGGTGTGATAACTATTCTGACGTTTCCAATTTTCATATTTTACCCGATCCTGATGTTGAGCGCTTTTATCAAGGAAGTTACTCGTCCAGCTTCACCGGCATTAATAAACTCACATCCAGACGAGAAATGGTTTTTTATCAACGGTGTGGTCGTAGATAAAGGATGGTTGAACGAGAACTGCAAATATCTGGAGAAACGTTTTGGTAGAGGAGTTACAGGCATTTTAAATACGTCTTATGGTTTTATATGGGATTTAGTAGAAACCGCCCTCCAGAGAAGCTTCGATATCCAAACCGTATCAGTACGCTGGGCAACGTATAATATTCTTCCAGCACTTAGAGACAAGAATTATACGACGGTTCGAATAATTGCACATTCACAAGGCGCTATCATAGCGAATTTGGTTCTTCAAAAACTATACATCGAACTGAGTCGCGCGGGAAAGCAAGATGATCTTAAGAAGCTCGAAGTATATACGTTTGCTAATGCATCTCGAGAGTTCTTGAACCCTGGTAACCTCGTTCGTCGCATCGAACATTATGCAAACAGACGAGATCCAATTGCCAAGTTTGGCGTTCTCGACCAACTCAATAATGGTCGTTTTCAAGGTGAAATTTTCGTCAACAGCTATAGGAATCAGGGCAAGGGGCATTTGTTCAACGCGTTCTATAGTCTTGATAAGGCCGATTACAAGCCTGTAAAAAACGACGATGCTATCCCCGAGTTGCTGCAATTACCTGGACGTGTGGACAATTTGCCGATACAATTATAAAAATTTGATCTTTTTAGCACAATCTTGTTTATATACCCAATAGTTTATATCAATATGGCAATTATACAAACATTACTTAAGATTAAGCAGCCGACACCGGACGTAGACCGAATTATCCTAGCTAATTGTTTCCTTCTTATCTCCTACATCTGATAACTTTGTTGCGATCTTTCAATCTAAGTTTCGTCGTTGACGAATATGCTTTTTATATATTAGCAATAAATTTGTTACTCCTGCCATGGGAGAAATTATTTATCAATTGTTGAACATTCGTACATTTTGTTAGATTAAATAAAGCTGACCTGTTAACACAGCGAAGGGAATATTTGATTATTATTACTGATTAATCGGTATCTACAGTTTCTTACTTGTTCCAATAACTTTGTCGATACATTAGATATATTTATGTTTGCGTTTATAATTAATGTAAGAAATGCCTACATAAATAAAAAATATTTATCAACATGTCCAAAGCTAACATTCAAAAACATTGACATATTATCAGAAGTTATTCAAAACTCAACAAAAATTGAAAATTTAGTAAACTACGCAAATTTGAATATGATGATTATGTTAAAAATTACGCAGACAAAAGGCTAACTGTTTGCGCATACGATTTATTAAATAGAAATACTGGCAATGAATAAAGTCTCTTTTGATTGAAGATTAAATGTAATCCGAGAAGAGTTGATACGAATGATGCAAATTAATGAGATGTTAGAATATCAGCAAATCAATTTGATATCACGATGGGCATGGGTTGCAAGAGAGCATTTAAAGGAAGATAGATAAATTGAGACTATTACAAAAACCTCCATTGAAATCGTGTAAACCATGCCACAATTACAAAGACGATGCTTCTCAGGTTTGCAAATCCGTAGTTAACGTCAAGCTATCGTAAGTTTAATCGATGTAGGCGGATTAGTCAAGTACTGTAAAATATCTGTCAAGGATAGGCAGTAATATAAATGGTAGTTTGGCACTACAGGGTAACATGTCGGGAGGGAAAGAACTTTGTCTGTCTTAATCAGTTGACTTCTATTATAAAAGGGAGGCGTTATTCATGATAAAACTTGTTGGCTCTTATTGGTGGTAAAAATCATAAGCTATTGCGTACATACAAACAATGACCAAAATTCACAACAACGGACGCTTGACTTACGCCTACATGTATAATAAGCCATTGGAAGTAATAATACATATACTGTATACTAAGGCAATAAGCTATTATATTGGGTAAGGTGTCCGTTCTTGATAATTTCTATTACTAGTATTTGGCTAAGAAAAATAATAATTCATCAAGAGATAAGATGATAAACTTTCTGATGATAATTGCCTAGCCCAAAAACTTCCAATTCAAGTAACCGCATTGATTTACAAGTTGTATAGAAAAAAGTTTTTGGAAATTTGTCAATTTAAATAACTCGGTACAAATATTAAAAACCACAATACTGACAGTAAAAAAAGTTAAGGATAAAAATTGGCACGTTAATCACAAAGAGGAATGATTGGCCAGTAAACACACACGGTAAACACTAACACATCAGACAACAAATTATTCAACATCGGGCCGTAATGTATTATTTACCTATCTTATTTGTCGTTTACCCACATTTAACAATGTCGTTCTTCTTCGAAGACGCATTGCAATGGCAATAAAGCGTTGTAATAGGATGGAACAACATTTGAGTTGTTAGCCAAGCAAGCGTTTTTATATAAAGTATTATGAAGTTAACTGCCAGCATTATTGTATTCTATGCTGTATGTATTGATTTCTTCTCCACAATGTCTACCAATAGTACATACGTTGGGCTTTTGAACAAACATACAGACAGCAAGTAGGATCATGTCATGTCGAACGCAATATTCAAAACAAGTTTACCTTGAGGAACAGCGCCGTAACTATGGAGATTCGCATGATAATCAATATTTGAGGGTTTACTCTTACCATATTAAGAAAAAGCAGTCGCCCACTTGTCGTGCATATCCTAGCTTTAAAACGTTTGCACACCGTTGCTTATTGTACCGCAGCCCATCGATAACTCGGTTACACCAAGTTGCATTCTGACAACTTGTATCAGATTTCTTTGCCGCTATCTGCTATTACATTCAAATGTCTGAAACATCCGATAATTCGTACAAAGAATGGCTAGACACAAGCATTCAAGAAGGTTCAATCTATTGCTGTTCAGAAAGTGACATAAAATTAGATCTTCTACATATCGGCCATGGGGCATACGGAGTGGTATATAAGGCAACAATAAAGCGGAAAAACAGTCTTGGAAATGTTGCCAAGACAATCATGGGCAAAAGGCGTAATAGTCTTTCTGGCATGACTGTTGCCATGAAGACTTTGTATCCTGATAAACATGGGAAATGTCAAGACGATTTGCATCGACGATTTGTCGAAGAGGTTATTATTAAGTCCCATCCGTAAAGCTTGCTAGATTAAGATATTCATGTTTGCTTATCGACTAATTTTTAAAACGAATGTTATATGTTAGCTAAGACACCACAAGATAGTGAACGAACATCCCAATATTGTTCAGTTTCTAGGCCTATATAAGGGTATGTTCTAAATCGCAGTCTCATCGACTTGGCAAAAAGACTAGTTACTTATTTCCACTATTTTTAATACAATAGACAAACATGACACGCATCATATGATGTTTGAATTAGCTGATGGCGGAAATTTGCGCCAATACCTCGAAGAACACTTTGCTAATTTAACTTGGAAAAATAAATACAATTTAGCCCAAGGAATTGCCAATGGGTTAAAATACTTGCATGAACTCGATATTATTCACAAGGATTTGGTAATTGTCTCATATCCCCCCATTTTCTGATGGAGTACATTACTGATTAAAGTTGATTTACATGTGTTATTGCTTTATTTAGTCTTCCAGTAATATTCTTATTCAATCAGGTGTTGCAAAGATAACCGACTTTGGTTTATCCAGCATCTGGAAGCAAATAATGTCCAAATCACATGGAGACGGGGCTCCAGCATACAGAGATCCGATATCGTTTAAAGATGAGTCTTATCGACGCAATAAGAAATCGGATATCTTTAGCCTCGGAGTGATACTTTGGGAAATTTCTAGCGGAAAAATTCCGTGCGAAAGCCGTATTGAAAGTGTTAGAATTATCTTGTATAGGAACAATGGCTCTCGCGATCCCCCCTTTCCTGGAACGCCCGAAGAATATATTAAACTGTATTCAGAATGTTGGGATGAAGACCCAAACAAGCGGCCTTTTATCGAAAATGTTTATGAGAGGCTGAAGTATTGTGATGCATTAAACGACTTTAACAAATCCTTGGAGATTGAACCGAATGATGCATGGGCATTGAGGAATAGGGCAGCGGTCTATTTATGTCTTAAACAATATGACAATTCACTGAATAATGCATATACTTTGAAACAAAAGAGAAGTAATCTTACACAGCATGACAATTCATTAAATGAGTTTGATATGTCATTAGAGATTGAACCGAATGATGCATGTACACTGAGACATAGAGCTTTTGATCATAATCAAAAACAATATGATAAAGCACTAAATGATTTAAACAAATCATTGGAAATCGAACCAAATAATGTATATGCACTGAGGCATAGAGGAGCTATCTATCTAGACCTAAAGCAGTATGAGGACTCATTAACTGATTTCAACAAATCACTGGAGATTGAGCTGAATGATGCATGGGCATTGAGACATAGGGGAGCTATCTATCTAGGTCTAAAACAGTATGACAATGCGTTAAATGATTTGAGCAAATTATTGGAAATTGAGCCAAATGATGCATGGGCATTGAGACATAGAGGAGCTGTCTATCGAGACCTAAAACAGTATGGTGATTCATTAACTGATTTTAACAAATTGTTGGAGATTGAGCCAAGTAATGCATGGGCATTGAGTAGAAGGGGAGCCATTTATCTGGATCTAAAGCAGTATGATGAATCATTAACTGATTTTGACAGATCATTGGAGATTGAGCCTAATAATGCATGGGCATTGAGACATAGAGGAGCCATGTATTTGGAGCTAAAGCAATATCAAAATTCATTAAATGATTTCACAAGATCCTTGGAGATTGAACCAAATGATGCATGGGCATTTAAAAATAGGGGAGCTGTGTATTTGGGTCTAAAGCAGTATGAGAACTCATTAACTGATTTAAACAAATCATTGGAAATTGAACCTGACAACGCATATGCATTGAGGCATAGAGGAGTTGTCTATTGTAATCTTAGACAATGTGGCAATGCATTAACTGATTTCAACAGATCATTAGAGATTGAACCAAATGATTTATATGCCTTGAATGGAAGGGGAGCTGTCTATCTAGATCTAAAACAATATGACAATTCATTAAATGATTTCAATGCCTCATTAGAGATTAAACCAAATGATGTATATGCATTGAGGAATAGAGGAACAGTCTATCTAAGTCTTAAACAGTATGACAATGCATTAAATGATTTCAACAAATCATTGGAAATTGAACCAAATAATGCATATGCATTGAGGCATAGAGGAGCTGTTTATCTAAGTCTTAAACAGTATGACAATGCATTAAATGATTTCAACAAATCATTGGAGATTGAACCAAATGTTGCATATACATTGACAAATAGAGGAGCTGTCTATCTAGGTCTAAAACAGTATGACAATGCATTACAAGATTTTGACAAATTATTGGAAATTGAACCAAATAATGCATATGCATTAAAATACAGAGAAACTGTCTATCATTGTCTAAAACAATGTGACAATTCATTTAAAATGGGTGCAACAAATTGAATTGACAATGCATGGCACATTGAGACACAGGAATAGTGATAGAGGAGATCTGAAAACAACAAATTGTTGGACATTGAAGAATGGGATCCTCACTATATTATATATCTGTTTCTGGAATTTCTATAATGGGGTGATTACCCTTTAACCTATTTTCAGAATTCTGATTGGGTCTGCCCACATTAATATTGGAATTA